AAGGCAGTCCTCTGCAGCCTCAAAGGTGCTGCCGCTCGCCTCTGGTGCCATGATAGCGCTGTTTAAATATTTGAAGGGATATCATATTGAGGAGGGCACTAGCTTGTTTTCTGCTGCTCCAGAGAATAGGACTTGGAACAATGGATGCAAGCCACATGAAAAGAGATTCCACCTCAACATTAGGAGGCACTTCCTGACAGTGAGAGCTGTTCAACAGTGGAACACACTCCCTCAGAGTGTGGTGGCGCCTCCTTCCTTGGAGGTCTTTAAGCAGAGGCTGGATGGCCATCTGTCAGGGTTGCTTTGATTTTGAGTTCCTGCATGGCAGGGGGTTGGACTGGATGGCACTTGTGATCTCTTCCAACTCTTTGATTCTACGATTCTATGATTCTATCACTTATGCTGCTATGTCACAGCTGATCTTCTCAAGCATCCCACTTAGGAAGCCTTTGCCTGAGGCATTTAGAGCTTGGTTGGCTCTGGAGAGCCTTGTAGTGACCAGCAAGCCTCTCCTGTATGTGTATTTGGATTGGGGGGGGGGAGAGAATTCACAGTTGTCTGTATGCTTTGCCATCTGTCTAGTGGAAGGGCCATCCATAATGCTAATGCATATGCACATGCTATAAGAAACACAAATATGCTAACAATTAGGGAAATCTGTATTCTCATGGCAGGGGATACAAATAAAAACAATGCAAATAAAAACATAAGAGGTGCATTAAAAAAGAATTGAATTATTACAATGTTAGATTAGATAGCTATTAAAAGAAAAAAGTACATTTTGAAAAGATAAAATTGTATACTTTAAAATGAAACACTATAAAACAAAGAACATCCCAAGCCACTCCTTTAGAAACATTCCATTTTAAAAGTCTGCCTGAACAGGTAGCTCTTAGCTTGCCGGTGGAAGGTCAACAAGGAGGGAGCCATTCTGGTCTCCCTGGGATGGGAGTTTCACACTTTCTAGGGCAACCACCAAGAAGGCCCTCTCTCGCATCCCCACCAGTGGTGGGATGGAGAGAAGGCTAACCCTGCATGGCATCCTTATAGTGTGGGTCAATGCGTCAGCATCTGTGCATGTATGCCCATTTAGGACAAATGTATTTTCATCAGTAACCCTAAGAAATCAAGCTGCAGCACCAGAGAAAGCATGTTACTCCATTGGTTACCAAGACCAACTGAAGAAGAAATATATTTATATAGAATTATGTCCTCTTAGAAGCAAGCCAACATTACAGAAATTGAATCAGAAATATATATCAGTTTGGATTTAAACTTGTCTGCATGGGCAAAATAGCCCACCCTCTGTCCTTGCAAGGGATTCCAAACAACATAGGGCTCAAAATCTGGTTCATATGGACTGGACAATGTCTGGCCAGTTCAGCTCCAAACCCAGGGTATTGTTGTGGTGCCTTCAAGTCATTTCCGACTTAGATAACCCTAAACTGACCCTTTCATAGGACGTTATCACACGGGGAGTTGCGAGGAGAAAGTGGAAATAAACCAGACGAGCAGAAGACTCTAATTTATGGGATTTGTCCCGTTCCACCTTGTCTGATAACTAAATTCGAATTTAAAAGGGGGTTAATTCAAACAAAAACCTGATCTTTTTAAATACTCAAAAATCCCGAAAATGAAAAGATCAGGTTTGTGTTCGAATTAACCCCCTTTTAAATTCGAATTTAGTTATCAGACGAGGCGGAACGGGACAAATCCCATAAATTAAAAACTTCTGCTTGTGCCCGTTTATTTCCACTTTCTCCCCGCAACTCCCCATGTGATAACGTCCATTGGGTTTTCTTGGCAAATTTCTTCAGAGGGAGTTTGCCTTTGCCATCCTCTGAGGCTGAGAGAGTTTGACCTGCCCAAGGTCACCCAGTGGGGTTCCATAGCCAAATGGGGATTCGAACCATGGCCTCCAGAGTCATAGGGCTGAAACAGACAGCTGTAAATGGGCTGCATGACGTTCCCCTTTGATTGCCAGATCGGGGCCATGGCAACCACATGCTGTGTCCCCAATCTGGTGTTTTTCCAGCACAAAAAGAAGTGGCAAAATGCCACTCCTTTTTGCACCAGAAAAAGCTGCCCTTTCCACTGCTGCTGCAGTTTTTCTGCCCTCCAGTGGAGTGCAGCATCTAAACACCATGCTGCCAGAGCACCAAAAAGCTGCCCGCTGTCTGGTTAGGCAGGCAGCATGATGCTGGCTTGGGGGCGGTGTCAGGGTGTGCGTCATCCAAACATCACTCCACCATGCTATTACCCCTAAACCAGTGTATGCTGCCAGTCTGCTTCACCCCAACACTAAAACCACTACATCATACTCCTCTTAAAATGGATTTTAAAAACTCTCTGTTTGCTCCAGACCCTCCTGGAAAATCTGAAACATGTCCTGCTCTGTCATGGTGGCAGTGGGTCACTCGGTCTGAAATCAGAACGAGGTGCTTAGCCATGTAATTGACACTGGGCACTTCGTTCTGACCTCAGGAGTAAGTGACTCGCTGCCACAGCCACCACACTGGGCAGCATTGCATGCAGGACCTTTGAATAAATCTGTTTGAAACCAAGGGGATATGTATGACATAACTAATATCGGTCCCTTTGATTTCAGTGGATCTATTCTCAGTGTGCTTAAGTCTTAGTGCCACTCAATATGTTTGAGGCCAGAGACAAGTCTCTGTTTTCAACTGTGAATCCTAGCAGTCTACATACTACCTTCAGTATCCCCAAGATTTCTCTCCTCCCTATATTTGAACTCTGCTTTTGCTGATGAAGGTCTTATGTGAACCTTTACTAAGTATTAGATCTCTTCCCTGATCTCTAAAGGAGCTTCATCTATTCTTCAGTCAAAATGCCCTGTAATCTTTCCAGAATTTGTTGCTCTAATAATAAATGCAACACCTTTCTTGGCATGTGTTAAGACTTTGCCAAAAAAGTATTCAAAAATAAATAAGTTATTGATCTCCTATGGCAACTGGTGCTTCTGCAAATCCAAAGCTTTCAAGATTTACAGTCACCAGGTTTTGCACATGATTTATAATATGTATTCACAACATCTACTATAATCATTCTGAAGAAGCCCATATGTCAACTATTGTGCAACTGTCATGCCAAAAAAACAAGTAGTGTGATTTTCCCCCACTGGTTCCTCACCAGTCAATCAGTATGCTCATACTTCCACCGATATAAAACAAAACAACCACAACAAAAAGTGTCATCCAGGCTGAGATTGGCTGGTAGAGAAATAATTTGTTTCTCCACAATAGAATGTATTATGTATTGTGTTTAACAGGAATGTTTTCCATTCATTTTTGCTTTTTCATTTTAAAGCAATGCAAAATATATACTAGATGCACTCAGGATTTGAGTAAAGAGTAGTTATCTTTAGGATATCATTATTCGTTATTATCTCAATTTAATCAGCATGGCTTCCAGGGAGATTTTAAGCTTGATCTGACCCATTTGTTTGTCTTTTAGTTGCTCCACAGTATCCTCATCACTCTTTTCCAACATCAGATCTC